GATTTGTCAGGTGTACTTTTTTAAGATGATTTGTTAGGTGTCCTTTTTTAAGCAAAACATAATTGTTAGTTTTTTCAAATTCTTTTAATAAACAAAAGTGTTTAAAAACTCTTTTTTACTTTTTAAAATGGTGATTTATGACAAAGTACAGAGTTCAAAATGTTCTTTTATCTTGTGTTGATTAATCCAAATTTTAAAATTGAGGAAATAGTTTGTGAGTTTAAAAAGGAGGGTTGACTTCCTTTAGATATATGCTTGTAAACTTAGTGCAATAGGGGTGGCACCAGAGTTTTTAATTAACCAACAAAGTTTGGGTTATTTTTTTGTTTCTGAATATTAGATTGTGTTTTTGTAAATACTTTATTTTTTCGCATTGGCTTGTAAAATATTGGACTTGTTTACTTCTATAATATAGTACTGAATATGTTTTACAAGTATTTTTCCAAGCTGTCCTACGAATAATAAGTTATTTATTTAGATGTATCTTTTTAACATGATAGTAAATTATCTTTTAATATATATTTTAAGTGGAACAGCAGGATTCGATTAGCCCTGTCCTTGGCTCTGTCCCTTTTTATGAATAATTTATAAGCTGTAATATAAAATAAGTTATTTAAGTAAATTATTAAATAGATATTTAACAAGTTATAAATATTTATATAACTTATGGTAATTTTAGTTATAGATTTTTTGGTAATTTTAGTTCAAGATTTTTTATAGATGTTTTTCATCAAAATAATATTGAACTCTCTTAGACAAAGTTAAAAGGTATTATAGGGTTTCCCAGAACTGTTATAAACTTTGAACTTGATTTTACAGATTCAATATATGTTGATTATCATTAGAATTAAACAGGTTTTATTTGATGATATAAATTTATGGTTCTAAATCTAAAATTATGTATGTCATTAGTTATGATTGTGTTATTGTATTTCTGTATATCATTATTATACTGTTACCATATTTTTTAAATTAATTAGTCTTGATAAAACTTATTTATGTAACGTGTTTTCTTTGTCGCGAGGAGCTTTAACAAACTTAGTTATGTGCATTTAAAAGTGTACAAACTCCATAAAGAATAAATAGCCCTGGCACATTATGCTGTATTGCATTTTGATAAAGTAAATTTTTTACTAGCAGCTATTTGTTTGTTTTATTTTTTTTATACTTCTTTAAAAAAATTTATAGATTGTATATATATATATATATATATATATATATATATATATATATATATATATATATATATATATATATATATATATATATATATATATATATATATATATATATAAATTATTGTATAATGTATTGTATTTTAATTATAAGTGTATATAGCTAATATAATTTCATACTTATTTTGTTACTAAAATTTTATTTAAATATTTAACATTTATTCTGCATGTGCATATATACACACCAATACACAGGCATATACACTAGTGTAGGAGGAATATAGTAGTATGAATTTTTTTTTTACAAAGAATCTGTATTGAATTCCAAAGGTTAATAATTTTGACAAGTTGTAGGGAAGGGATCAAATCAAAATGATTTCTTTTCAACTCTTTTATCTTTCTGATTATTATTTAATTTAATTTGTCTTTCCCAGGTACCTGACTTTCAGGTTTTTCTATGAAAAGAGGTTAACATTGTTCTAGTTGCTGTTCCAATCACTGTGAAAAGAAAAAGGTTCAAGGTTTTTTGCATGTGAAACAGGCAAGTTTTTGAACATTTGGTTGTGAAAGATGAATAAAGTTTAGTTTGTCTATTTTTGAACATAATTAAATTGATCTCACAAATAATATTTTTCATGATTCATGCTTTAAATGATACTTTTTATATACTGAAACGAATTTGAATAAAATTATTTCTTTAAAGTAACTGAAATTAAATGCATGCCTTTAGAAAGTATGTATCTTTCTTTGACATAATATTGAACTAAGCACTTTTTAAAAAAAAAAAAGTTAAACTTGTTATTCATAAAATAAAATTTTTGGAAAACTGTATTGTTAGTGTTGTTTGTTTTTCAGGAAATTCTTTTGCAAATTTATAAGTGTTTATAAATGTTAGAGTATAATTTCTTTGGACATTTTACATATTACATTTTTTTCTGTATATTCTTCATTTTGTGCACGTAACCTATGATGCACATAAACAAAAAATTTTTATATTATTAAAATTTTTAAATCTATTTTTGATATTTTGAATAACATAATTTTGTCCAATTTCATTAAAGTTTTGACTGAAAAAAATTACTTTAAACAAATTATATATGTATGTGTGTGTTTGTATGTGAATACACGAAATAATGTTGGTTAATGTCTATTATGTTGACGAGGTATTTTACTTTTTAGTGCTCTTTAGTTTAAAGAAAAAAAGATCACAATAAAAGACCTCATGCACATGTGGTTACTATAAGTTCTAACCTCGTCCTTTGAACTATAGTCCAGTCTTTTTACTATTATTAGCAAGTTCTTTAAGTCTCTAATAGAAAAACTAATGGTATCTCAACATGAATAGCTTTTTGATCTGGTTTTTTGATTTTTTTTACTATTGATTAGTTAACAGTTATAAACTTTTTAAATGGTTTTATTGTGCATTAGTTAGAAATGATAAGTATAGAGCTGTGCATTAGGTAAAAATGATAAGAATAGAGCTGTCTATTAGATAGAAATGATAAGGATAAAGTTGTTGCTCTTAATATACCAAAGACTTTCAATATGGTGTATCCAAAAAAATTTACAAAATTATTGAAGTTTTACTTTCAATTGTAGTGTGACAGCCTATTATGGATATTTTTTTTTTGCTAATAAATTATCACTTTTTGATTGTTTAGAACAGATAGCCATTATTGAATATGATTTCTCCGATGAGTTGTCTAGCACTCTCTGTGATTGATAAATGTTAGTTTAAACAAAACTTATTTTCAACAAACCATTGCTGCCATAATCATTATGTTCCTACAAATAGTAACACACTTACTAAATTTTCTATTTTATGCATTTTTGCATTATCTATTATTATTATGTCAATTTGCATTATAGGCCAGTGCAAATCAGAAACTTTAACATTGAATTGAATCTCAAATCAAGTTATCTATAAATTTGCAAATTGATTTTTGAATCTTAAAAAACTTTTTCCCCATTTCTAATACTTATAAATATTTTTAAAAAGATATCACATGCCTGAACGTATTTGTTTGAAGAATTAGGGCAACTATTTATTATAAGATCTTAATTTATAACTTATTCATTGTCATCACAAAATAGTTTATGTTGTATTGACATTTTTACAATAATCACCATTTGTTTAATCTTTAAAGAAATATGTCCTATTCCCCCATTTATTCAAAGATATATTTTTTTTCAATTGCATTGTGTAGGTTAGATCATTTACTTTACCAAATATTATTAAATAAATGTTTTTATAAAATTAGCTTGATTTGAATATATGGAATTTTTTTGTTCAAATCTTGAATCACTTTTCTGATTTGATTTGAAAATTTGCTATTACTATTCTATATACTAAATTAAAGATTGGAAATCTATTACTACTGACATTTCCAGAAAACCACGATAAGTTAATTAGAAAAGAATCTGCTATGGTTGCCTTAATATTATTTTTTGTTCTTGTGACTTTCTTACTATTAATTCTGTTTTTTACCTCTATAATTTTTCATTTGTCTTAATTTGGGATAATATTGACATTGATTTGTATTGGATCTTATAATGATGTTCTTTCTTTTTTAGAAAAAAGGCAAAATCTATTGTAAACATGGTTCTAGCAATTTAACTAGTTTATCTGTCTCAGCATCATGTTTTTTTAATTTTTTACTAATATGATTGCTGTTTAAACAAGCTGTCATTTTTTCCAGCTGACAAAATTAATTCTTGAATGACTCATCGTTCTGTCAAGTCTTATCTTTTTTTTTCTTTTAAATGATTTCTTTTTCTGCTCTTAAAACATATATTTATTTCATTTTTTTCCTGCAAGCATCAAGAACTTCCTCTTCCTATTATTGTATTAATCATATAATCTTTTGTTAATTTCTTTCTTGGTATTTAGTCCTTCTTTTCCTTGTTTTTCTTAGTAATTCTTGACATAGTTAGTGATTGCCTGTAACTTTTCTCAGCAGCACAATTTAGTTGAGGCAATGTTAGACCAATGCTAACTTTGATTTTTAATTAAAGTGTGCTGCTCTGAATATTGTTGGCCCAAAAAATTTTATAGTTGGCTTTATGTTAATATTTCATTGGTGTATGATAGGCTGTTGTGCTGCTCTGAATATTGTTGGCCCAAAAAATTTTATAGTTGGTTTTATGTTAATATTTCATTGGCCTATATTAGGCTGCTGTTAGCATTGCGTATGTTTCACTAGTTTGACATTACATCGGGTCATTGTTATAAAGTTATATGTGATACCTTGGCTTTATGATTGGAGTACAAATTCATGGGTTCAACATAGAAACTGCTTATTTCATTATACTACAGTTACATTAATTTACTGTCAGCCTAATCGAACGCTTAATTCTCCAAAACTTTTGTCAGAGTTGTCCTTCACCCAATAAAGATATTCATCACAACAAGTTATCAGTCATTCAGTCAAAATCACTAGTCATAATTGCTAGAAATATAACTTGTCAGTAACAATTTTATTATTCAACCTGGTTGACGCACTTTCATTAATACTTGAACTTTAAAACATTTTTGGTTCTACGTATTAAACAATGTTATAAAATTATTTCTTGTACAACAATGCATTTGCCACTCATATACTAGACACCAATCTTGTCAGTTTGTAAAAAATATTGGTATTTGATGTTTAGCATTTAAAAATTTTATTAAATATAAATTATTTATGTATGATTATATATTATATTACATTTTTTATATTTTTATGTTTTTATATAATACATAGTATTACAACATATGGTCAAATCCTAAAAAGGCATAAGTGTGTTTTCCTTATATTCTGTGTTAAAATTTTTTTTCTTATTTAGAAATATTCGGATGTCACTCTTTACCCTTGTTTAAAAATCATCAATCAAAGTGACTCAAAAATCGACAACAATACCCAAATTGGATGGATTCACCTAGGTGATAAAGAATTTTTAAAGATTAGGGTGTTAAAAAGTTCATTTGACCTTCCTTTATGGTTCAAAATCATTTTGTCAACAATACTTATGATGCTTTCTGCAATGTTTTCAGGACTAAATTTAGGCCTAATGTCATTTGACTTGAATGAGTTGAAGATCATTAGCACTAGTAGTTCTATACAAAATCAAAAATATGCAAAAAAAATTATACCTGTACGACGCCATGGAAACTTTTTACTTTGTACCCTATTGCTTGGAAATACGTTAGTTAATTCTACATTTACCATTATATTAGACAGTCTTACTAGTGGCATAGTAGCAGTTATTGGGTCTACTTTAGGTATTGTTTTTTTTGGAGAAATTATCCCACAAAGCATCTGTTCTCGATTTGGTCTAGCTGTTGGGGCCTATACCATTTTATTAACAAAATTATTCATGGTAATTACATTTCCCCTTTCTTTTCCCATAAGCAAAATTCTTGACCGTATTCTTGGCAAAGAATTAGGTAATGTGTATAATAAACAGCAGTTGCTTGAAATGTTAAAACTACAGCATGAATATGATGACTTAGAACAAGATGAAGTTGGTATTATTTCTGGTGCACTAAAATATAGAGAAAAGAAAGTTTGTCAAGTAATGACAGCATTGGATGACTGTTTTATGTTAGATGAAGAAGCTGTCTTAGACTTTAAAACAATGTCTTCAGTAATAAAATCAGGATATAGTCGCATTCCCATTTTTTCTGTTAAAAGATCAAATATTGTGGCTATACTATTTGTAAAAGATTTAGCTTTTGTTGACCCTGATGATTGTATCCCTTTACTTAGTGTTCTTAAATTCTACAATCACCCAGTGCACAAAGTATTTGATGACACAAAGCTTGGTAGTATTCTTCAAGAGTTTAAACAAGGGACAACCCATATTTCGATTGTTATGAAAGTCAATAATGATGGTGAAGGTGATCCATTTTATGAATGCATTGGAATTGTCACCTTAGAGGATATTATAGAAGAAATAATACAAGACGAAATTGTAGATGAAACAGATATATATGGTAAGTTGTATCTTGAAATATTTTTTTAGTTTTTTTTTTTAATGTTGTATATAAAAGTTGGTACTTGCTGTTGTAAACAAATTTTTTTTTGAGAATGGCTACAGTTGAGGAGGTTACTAATTTTTTATTTTTTAAATTTTATTTGCAGCTCTTCCTTAACCCTAAAATCTGAACCTTATTTTAACAAGGCTGCTCCAATCAGAAATAAGTTAAGCCCAGTACTTCCAGAGGCGCAGGCTGGAATTAATATTAGACGATGAGTAACTAGTTTTTTATAAAAGACATATAATGAAAATGCAATTATTATTATTTAAAAGTTAAGTTTAAAATTCAAGTAACATTTTACAATTTATGTATTGATATATGCATTTAAGATAACAATAATTTTTTTTGACTCTACCCAATAAGTGTGCATATAATGAAAGGATCGTCGATAGAAAAGTATATAGCTAGTTCTGCTAGCTATGGTATGTTTCAACTATATAATCATATTAAGCATCATGCATTTTACAAATTTTATTGTTTGTATTTTTATTTTGATGTATTTTGTGTAAAAATGTTACATTGCAAGAATCATTTTTAATAAGTTGCACTAGTGTGTTTGCACACTTTGTTTTTTGCTTCACACCCACTGTAATACTAAAAACGGTTTAATACTAGAATTTTTAATTGACATTTTTATTAGCATGTTGTTTTATAAAAGAAAAATACAAATAAAAACAATGTTAGGAACCACAAACTTGTACCCAACATGACTTTGGCCTTAGACTACATCTATTATCTGGTTTTAGCATTTGAAAATTATTTCTTCAGAATTAAAATAAAATCAAATGATAAGTATATATTTTTTTCTTTTGTTTATTTTCTTTTATTGTTTTGGTCAAGTTTTTTTTCTCTTTTATTTCATTTTTTTTTTTCTTTTAGCAATTAAGTTTAAGGTATTAAAATAAAAATAAAGTGGCCAAATAAGATGTCTTGCAGAAAATTAAATATATTGAACTAACTAAATAAAGCAAATAAGTTTTCTTATAACAATAAGTTGTCACATAACAAATAAGTTGTTCTATAAAAAATCAGTTTTTGAGTATTTTTGGATTCTAATTCACTCTAAACAAAGCTGCGCGTCACCACTATTAAATTACTAGAAAACAAAGAATAGAGTTAAAGAGCAAGACAATAATTGACAGAAGACTTGAAAAGTTGTAGGATGTATGAGTAAAAGTTGTAGGATGTATGAATATATTAGTTGTACCCTATTTTAAGGTCACATATCTCTGAGACTGTACTGTTAAAACATTTATTAAGTTTTGTTTACAATAATTTTTTTTATTACAATAACAATAAATTGTTATTGTATTGTAAAGATGAATTACAATACAATAATTGTTGTTATTGTAGTGGGTCATTACAATACATTTTTTTTTTCAGATGTTGTTATTGTATAATAAAGATGAATTGCAATACAATATTTATTGTTATTGTATTACAATATTTGATTAACACAATATTAATAGTACTAAAAGTTGCTGTCATAAAACATTTTGAAAAAATTTTTAATTTGTTTTTTGCGGAGCCACTCCGGAGCTGCTCTGAAGCTGGAGCCGGAGCTGGAGTAGAAAATTCTAATGGAGCCGGAACCTGGAGCGGGAGCAAATTTTTAGACATTGGCTCCAAAGCCCTGTAAAATAAAAAACAAAAATTTATTAAACTACTTATAAAAACTCAGAAAAAAGGTCACAGGGAGTTAGATGTGTCTAATAAGCCAAGTCTATCTGTTAGACTTTTCTTGTAGCAACTTTTCTAGAAGTTTTCTTGTAACATCTTTTCTAAAGTTCAATTGATTGCCGAATCCTGCAATAAATTTTAAAGTTTATATTTTATTTACACTTTTTCAGTAAAAATTTCTATGAAAAAAAATAAGCTGTTTTTAATACCAGTTATGGCAAATTATTAAATTATGATGTAAATTTTAGCAAGTTAAACTATCATTGAGGAAGGTGGGGGAGTTCATGGAAACTATAACTATCGTTATAAATTTTTATAGAATTTATGTTAATACCTTAGCACGATCATTAGTAGCTCGGTTATTAAGTATGATGTTCTCTCAGAGTTAATAGTCATTAAATATTAAATAAAGTCCTTTGCATGGATAAGAAAGTATTTGTTGTGTTTTTTTAATCTTGTCAATTTTTTTAAATGCAATAACATTATTCAAAAAATCAAAAAGAAAGCGATTTAAGCAAAAAGATTATAATTGTTAGAAATGTTTTAAATTTTTTTTAATATTATACATTTATATTATACTGCTATGCAATATAATTGTTCTCATTTAGAGTACTAGCTTGAAAAATGTTGATTAAGAAGTTAATAAAATAGATTTTTTTTGATGTATCAGATATCTTCTGTAGCTCAGTGGTTAATTGCGCTGTCACATTGTCTAAATGTTTCCATGGGTTCAAATCCACCGCCAACTGCCACTTAACTTATTTTATTTTTTTCAATCTTGGTGTTTTTTAAATATAAAACAAAAAAGTTTAAAAAAAGACTTTTAATTGTTATACATATTGTTATACAGGATCGTTACTTGACTTATGTTAAAGACAATTACAACTACAGACGTATTTACATTGCACAAAATAAATGGAACTTGACACTTTTAAAATTAAATTTTTAAATTTTTAATGTAAAATTTTTAAATTTAGTTATTTACATATTTGTATCTGTAAATTTTAATTTTTTGTATAAAAAAGAGCTGAAAAAACTTTTTCTCACCATTAAATTCAGCTTTAATGACTGACAAAAGTTCTGGGTCAAACCCACTTAAGTAAGCAACACTATTAAGTTCAGCAATATTATATAAAATAAGTTGTTTTATAGTATAGATGCTAACTACAAGTAAGTTGTCATATAACATAGATGTTTTAAGATGAATATATGGCTTCTTGTTGTTCTTTTGGAAATGTTTCACAAAGGGGGTTACTGCTAAAACTTATGTAACTTTTAAAATGTTATAGAAAATTTTGTTTTGTAAAAAGATTAAAAACTCTAATGAAATTTTTCAGCTTTTGACTTTAACGAAATAATTCAAACTATCCTCGAATTTAAATTAAAATTTAGATTTTATGATTTAAACTGAATTTCAATAGTTTACTACTTTTTATCAAAAATAATCTGAAATATATATTTTTGAATTTTTTAATTTAATATAAACATATTTAGATTAATTTAAAAGCCAAGCAAATTTTACTTAAACCTTATGAGAACAAATTAACGGATTGTTATACTTTTTATCAAAATTAATCTGAAATATGTATTTTTGAAATTTTTTATTTATGTAAACAAATTCAGGGATTAATAGTGAATCGCAAAAAAATGTTTGAGGTAATGTTTTTAAAAAGGGTTGATCCAGAAACTAAATAAATTTTTGAATGTTTCACATATTTTAGTTCTATAATTTAATTTCAACACATAAATTTTGTGAGCATGTTCATTGTGATAAAGATGATGGAAGGATGATCATTGATATATAAAAACATGTTCAATACAATTTAAGCTTAAAAAAATTTAAGTTTTTCACTTTTCCTTGCCTTCAATCATAGAACGGTGTTTTATGTAGTGAGTTAGATTACATTATTTACATTAATTACATTATTTAGTATGTTTTATGTTTTATTCAACTTTGATAAATAAAATGATTAAAAAATCTTTCTTTTTAGTATAACACATAAAAAAATTGTTTCTTATTCAATTGGTTTAATGGGTACAAGTTATTTTTTTAAAAAAAAATCTTTATACACACACAAGTTGATACTAATTTTCTATTCAATTTTTTCAGTTGAATAAAAATTTCTATTTACTTCAAGATTTTACATCAACAAACTGCAATGCTAAAGTTTACTCTGAGGTTTAACAGAAACAAATTTTGATACTTATACTATAGAGATTGATTACAATCGACTTATTTTAAAACCAATAATCAAGTTAGCATCTAAAGCTAAAAAAAGTTACAGATAACAAATATCTATTATAAAATTTTTTAAAAAAAAAGCAATATTTATTATAAAATTTAAAAAAAGCATACAATCTAAAAAATCTGTTTTAAAATTTTCTATTTAAATTGAATTTGAGAACACAAATAAGATATAGACCTTTTTTTTAAAACAAATTTTAACCTTGCTCTGAACACATGATACACTTTTTAATGACTATCTATCCCGCCTGTTTGTGATGTCTACAAATTGCTTACTTAAAAAGTGCAAGGCTTCTGCTGTGCTACAATATTCAACACTTTAGGCAGCACATATTTCACTCGTTTTCACATTTTTACTATTAGATAAAAATAAACCAGCCTGATAATCTAAAGTTTTACATTTCTTTAACAATAGTTTAACAGCTTTAACACTATTCCTAACATCAGCCATAGCATAGTCTGGTTATGACCTTATTGAAAACATTTCTCTGGAATTTTTTATTTTAATTTCCTGTGGTTCCAATGTTAGCTTAGTTTGAGTTTAATTTTTTTTTAATATTAATATAAATAGATGTTTTTAATTCTCTCCATTTAATGATTGTAATTAAGATTTTTAATGGGTAAACCACAGGTAATTTATAACATAAAAAGTTTGAAAACTTTCTGCTTTTGACATTATTAAAAATTCTCATATATTATAATTTATAACATATGTTTTATTGAATATAAATTACAAATATAACACGCATATAGTATATATATATATATATATATATATATATATATATATATATATATATATATATATATATATATATATATATATATATATATATATGTGCGTGTATTATACTTATTTTTCCCTGTCTCATTTGTTTTTGTTCATAAAACTTAGTCATTTTGGTTTTTTGTTTAAATTTTTTCTAATTTGTTAAATTTTTTAGATTTAGGTTAAAAATAAATGATATATATTTTTTGTATGATAATAAATATTAATTATAGTTAATATTTATACAATTTAGTTGGCAAATGCTGTAATTTAAAATTTATATTTAGTTGACAATGTATCTGGTAAAAAAGTACAGCGAAAGAAAAACCAATTAAATCATGATTTTTCAATGTTTTTGCCTCATCCTGGTGCATCTAAGTCTAAGATTAGTCCACAGCTTGCTTTTGCTATTTACCAATATCTGAGCACATGTAATTTTATTTTTAATATTTTAAATTTTAATTTTATTGGTTTTTGCTTAAATGTGATTATTGCTGTTTAAAACTTTTGTTGAATGTTTTTTTTTTTTTTTAATTATGATGCAATGTTCTTTTTATGTTTATAAATTATTACAAAGTTTGAATTGTAAAGTTGAATTTTAAGACAACACTAAAAAAAGTAGTTGATTTTAACTATGATATTCCTACCTCTACAATAACCACATTCGCAAAATGACAACTGCAAAGGAAATAGAATGCTTGTAGATTTTGTTGAAGTAGTGCTTGTATGCCCTGATTTTTGCCTAGCATATTGCTTTCATTATCATAGTCTTGTAAAAAAGTTTAATCAGCAGCATCAATCCTGAATCTAGTCAACCTATTGCAGAGAAAGCAAGTTGTTTGTTCAAATAAGAAGGCAGTGGCAAGAACAAGAAGTATTAAGACAAAAGCACCTAACAGTGATAGCAGATTAGATTCATACTTTATCAAAACGACCAAATCTTAAAAGTAATCAATGAGCTGAATCCTGATAGAATCCTCGCAATAGAATTAACATTGCACAGTGGCGCACAGTGGGCCAAAATACTAAATTTAAGTATTTATACTTACATGGCTGCATAAATACAAAATTTTCATATAAAGACATAAAGCACTCAAACAAAGAAAGTTGAAAAAGGTGAAAAGAATTTTTCATTTTTAGAATAATTAAATCTAAAAATTTAAAATTCTTAGGTTGACAATTAAATTGTGTAAATAATTAAAAAAATCATTGATAAAAATTAAATTGTGATACACAGCAGTCATGTTCATCAAGTTTTTTTGAGTTTACATTAAACATCATAGTTAGTGTTTAAAGAGAGGCTTGTAATAAAAATAAAAAAATATATTCAGGTGAGAAGGCACATTACTTATTGAATTAATTGATTGAGATTGTTTGAAGTTAATAAATTAATTGATTGAGATTGTTTGAAGTTAATAAATTAATTGATTGAGGTTGTTTGAAGTTAATAAATTAATTGATTGAGATTGTTTGAAGTTAATAAATTCAAGATAACTCTGAAAAGCAGAGCAAATTTTATTTTTTAGCTGAGTTGCTGCATAACATACCTGTTTCTATTTCATTCTTTCTATCAACCCTTGACCTTTTTTTAGCTTCTTTTTTTTTTTTTTTAGATTTTAATATTTTTTTAGTTTTAATTCTGATAATATTCTAGGATTTTTTTTCAAGATTTTCTTTTTTAGTGTTGTCTTTTTGATATTACTGTTAAGTGTTTTTTGATATTATAAATCTTTTCAATTGTTTATTATTTTTGTTTTTAAAGAATATCAGTTTCATTTAAATTTTGTTTAATTCTTTTGTAATAAATTATAGAGTTCAACAAAATACAAATAAAACATTTACTACTTTTAAATGTTCTTAATAACCAATCTAAAAACAAAATTAAATAATGACCTTTTTAATAAATAAGCAATTTAAAAATAAATCTACTTTATTTTTCTGAAGGGAGGCACAGGGAAAACATTTAATTAGCATTATTTAGGAACATTTTCTATTCGTTGTGCGTTTGTGAAACCTAATAAAAGCACATTTGTTAAACAGTAAAAAACTCATTTGTAAAAATTATGATCAAATAAATGTAATTGAAGTAATCAAGCAACAGATCAAGTAACAATGTAAAAATAAAATTTTATTCCATATGTAAAGAATAATTTATTTTAATGCTGTGAAAACGATTTAATTTTGTTTAATTTCTTTGTTTAGCTGTGAGCGTGTTTAGTCAAGATTTAGTCTCGAAAAATGTACTTAAGAAAATTATCCAACTACCTGGTGTCATCGAAGAAAAAGCTGTTGAGTATGAAAAAGAAAGAACTGATATTTATCTGTATCAAAAAGGAAAGCCTTGCGATTACTTTTCTCTCATACTTCAAGGTCGAGTTGAAGTTAACGTAGGAGATGAAGACATTACTTTCGAAGGAGGTCCGTTTACAATATTTGGTGTTAAAGCTCTTACGTGTGAAATTAATCAACAGTTTATACCTGACTATTCTGTGAAAGTTATTGGTAATGTTCAATTATTTAAAGTGAATAATTTGTTATACAAATCATCTCTGAAAGCTTCCAAACTAGAAAGAGAAAACAGAGTATCAGATATCTTACTGGAGTATGACGACATAAATAATTCCAGTGTTCCACAAATATCATATAAAGAACCTGAAAATGAAAATTGTATTCAAAATAAAAAAGATGAAAACAGTTCCATTAACTTAGACGACAATCAAACAATCCCATTACTCAAAGAGATGGAAACCGGTGAATCTAAATTTTAGTAACGGATGACGGGTGCATACAAAGTTAACGAAGAGTAATACTTTGTATAAAAAATAAAAACTATGTTATTTACTTTGCAGTAGACATTGCATTATTTTGTATTTTAGAATTCTTGGTAAGAAAAAAAAAAAGAAAAATTATTTATAGTAATTAGATTTTTAAAAAACTTTATTTAGAATTATTATATAATGCTTGTTTAGTTTTTATTTTAAAAAAAAAAAACGTAACGATATTATCTTCATACTACATATATAAGTCTGTCAAAGTTTGTATTCTTTTTTTGTATGTATATATATATATATATGTAAACGTAAAGGTAAATAAATAGTGCTTTCTAAAAAATCTTGCAAAATTTTAAGTTTCGATTGCGACTTATTTTAGCGGTGAATAATTTATTTATAAGAATAGTTTATTTCATGATTATTTTGAGTTATATTTATTTAGAATAGAAAAATAATTTACTATTCTGACTTATTTTGTTTAGCTTGTTTATCCATTTATAAAACATATTTACTAAAATACTAGTAAGTCGTGCTTTTAGTAGAGGTGTCCCGGAAAACATTTTTTTATTATCCGACCGGATATCGAATACCCAGATATTTTAAAAATATCCGGCCGGATAATTCTTGTAAATGTAAATTAATTCCTAAAATATATATTATTATGACAAAATATTACCGTGACAAACCTTCAAAATGGCAAGTTTTGTTTTGGAAGCTTTTCAAAATTAATGATAGCCGTGGTTTCACAGCAATTTGCATTCAATGTGGAAATACTGTATGAAAAATGATGAACTTTATAAAGCAAGAAAACAAGACGACTTAAAAGATAGCAAATTAAATAAATCTAACAGTCGTCTAAAAGACGACTTGAAAGATTGCAAATTATATGAATCAGAAAAACAAGTTAAAGGGAGTGAATTCCAAAGAACTGATGCTCGTAGAAAAAAGCTAGACGAATAAAAGTTTTTGAAGCACTTATGTCGCAAAACTCATAAAATCACTTAACAGTGAAAGACTTAATTGAATAACGAATAACACGGGAATGAATTTTAGTAGAAAAATGGTTTTTCAAAATTTTAAAAATGGGTCTATTATCTTCACTTTAGGTATTTTGCTTATAATGAAATTCTTTTTAGTTTCCTTTGCTTTGAATGTAGAGATGAATTGGAATTGCATTTAAGGTTGACTTTAACCAAAAAAAAAACCGTTCCAGCGGGTTTTGACAAAGCTTTAAATCTTATGAAGTTGGTGCTTCACATACTTCAAAAAAATTATTTTGTCCAAAATGCTCTGTAGTGTTGATTTGGTAAACATTTAGTGCACTCAAGGTTGTGAGTAGGGTTTTCACCATGGGTGAGTTTATCTTAAGATAACATTGGATGTGAAGTTGCTTTTTCCCTTATTTTAAATAGTGGGGTAAATTTGTAAACAAATACTATTTAACATTTTATGTCTTAAATGAAGTAAGTATATTTTAAATATAAATACTATTTATGTAAAGGAAATTAGAATACTTGTAAAATAATAATTTATGATACCTTAATTTAATTTCGATTAGAAAGAGATTAAAGTTTTGAATAGAAAAGTGAAACGACAGATGCTTTGGAAGCTTTTTTTATGAATTAAAATAATTTTTAATAAACCATAAAAACTTTTACAATTATTTTATAATTATTAAAACGTGTTTTTGAATTATCTTTAATTTATTGGGAAACTTTGACTTTTTTAACTTTCATTCCACACATCGGCTTCAGCTTATGCTCTTTTTACAAATGGCAGACTATATTTATTAACAAAAAAATGCGGCTTCATTTTTTGTTCATTGAAATCCCGTAAGGTAGACATCTAGTTTATATAATATATCATTGGTTTTTGGTTGATGTAATTGACTGTGGTAGAATTATACTTGCCACATGTCATAGAGAGGGCAATCTACCTATGTTAAAACGAATCCGCATAATAACTTTAATATAAAAATAACGATGTCTTTCTTTGACAGCCTTATTCACAAAAGTCAAAAAAGAGCAAAGTCTGTTACTAAAAATAATTTATAAAATTTATATAAGTCAGATTCTAATTAGTCTTGTGAATTTCACCAAAATCATCCAAACCAAACCATCATACTAAAATCATCCAAACCAAATCATCACAACGACACACGGCATGTAACGTTTACTCTTCTTAAGCAGTTGTTAGCATAAATATTGGTATGGAACTTTAATATAATTATTAAATATATATTAAATTATATATTCGTAAATATTAGTATGAAAAATGTTAGTAAGGAACTTTGTTGAAATGATAGTAGATCCAAAAAGTGAAACAAAACATTAGAGTTTGCAAAGCCGAGGCACACTTTGTTGTCAAATCTCAATTGCATTGGATCTCGCAACTTCAGCTTTAGAACGTTTGATGGCTTTCCTTTCAGAATTTCCGGCGTAGAATTTGATAGAAGCCCTTTAAAAGTTGATGTAAAGAACTAATTTTTCTTTCCAGAAATGGCTTGTTGAGTTTTCACTTCTTTTTCTTCTTCACAATTTTACGTTTATATTCTTCGCAATTTTATGCTGTATGACTTCATGGCAACTGTAGAAGCATAAGTGCTGTAAAACTGTAACCATGATGAGTTACAAAATGGTAACCAAGATGAGTTACAACATGGTAACCAAGATGAGTTACAAAATGGTATTAAATCTTAAATTAATTGGTAAATTTCAGATTACATTTAATATTAACCAATCGTATATGTTTTAACTTCTGTTCATGTTTATACAAAACGAGAGATAAAATAAATAGACTAAACGTGTCATTTTGTGGTTAAAACTTTGATTTTAGTGCAAGAATGAGTCCGATGCTTGATGAAAGATCTGATGCTCGATGTATGACCTAAAATAGTCAAAATAAATTTAAACTCTAAACATTTTTCTGCTGTTGCATAGTTTTACATTTTTAATTTTACATACTTTAGGAGTTTAAATAAAGGCAACTTTTATTTACCTTCTTTAAAGTTGTTCTATAAATTTTCAAAAACTATGACTTAAGACTCGACACTATAAAAATTATGAATTAAGGCTCGACGCTATAATGAAACAAAACCTTTGCAAGCTAAAAATTATTCATGAAAATTTTCATTGCTTTTGATTAAGAATCTTTCCATAACTTATTTTTTTTATTTGAGTTACGCAACTCAGGAAGTTTTATTTGGCATTTTAGTTTAAACCGTCAACGTCACAACGTGAACAGAGTTCATTTTTCTATTTAAAAAATAGTATTTCATTTTGTGAAAGTATATAAAAATAATGTTATAAAAATAATGTAAAAAGAGATACAACTATTTATTTATTAAGAACATGAGTTTTATGAAAGTTTTTTTGTGGTTAAATAGGTGGGTTTTTAGTTTTCCAAGTAGAGTTTAATAAATTTCCCCCGTAGTTGTATTATTGTTAGCGGAATTATTATTATCTGCTGTTTCTCTCAATTAAAAGTTTCATGTATACTGATATGAAGATACAGTTTATTTATCTTTTATATCAGAATCGTGAAACTTTTAATTGATTATAAAATAGATTTTTAAAAGTGAAAATAAAAAAGATTAAATAAACTGGAAATACCCAAAAAGAGAAAAAATAAAAACCGCTTACATAGTTGTTTTTAATTTTTATTTATATTAGTTGTTTGTTATTTTGTTCAAATTTAAATCTTTACACTAAAATTTAAAACATAATTACCAAAAACAACTTTTTTGGCAGGCTTTTTTATTTACTAAAAAACGTGTTATAAAGGGAACAAATTAATTATATAGTGAATATAAATTATTATATTTTATATATTATGGATACTTTGTAAAAAATATATCACGCAAATTGTAGGGGCTTGACGACATGACTTATGTCTTCTACTTGCTCCTATCATTCTTTATATTTTGATTTATTTTATTAAACTTGGAAACGAGAACATTGTAAAATGCTTATATATGACAAATAAATAAATAATTAACTCGAAAAAATTATATAGCTAAGAACATTAGAATTATTAGAATTTTATAATTATTCCTTTTATTATTTGAATTTTTTTAAATGAATCTAAGGTCCCGCTTTTACTATTTGCGACACTATTTCTTTTTTATGTTTTCGACACTATTCCGATTTTACTAAAATTGGAATAGTGTCGCAAATAGTAAAAACGGAACCTTAGATTCATTTGCGACACTATTCCGTTTTTTTGTTTTCGACACTATTCATTAAATTCATTTGCGACATTATTTCTTATTCTGTTATTCTACAATCAATCATGCGACAATTTGTGACACCTTTTTCACATTTTCGACAATCAAATTTGCGAGAATTAAAATTTTGCGACATTATTCCTGTGAACCATAAAATTTTTCAGAGAATAATCGCAAGGGATCTATGGAAAGTATGAGTTAAAAAAGGTTCCTATAGTTTTTTTATCCTATACGAACCAAAAAATTTATTTATGGCTAAAGATAAGCATAATTTAACTTGTTCTAATAAAATATATTTGTTTGTTTGCTCATTGATGTTTTTTTTTTCGTTAAAATAATAAATCACGCCGAAATCAAAATGTCTTCTCGTCACATTTTATTAAACTTACTAAAACCTAGACGTATATTTTTATTTTTATAAATCTCAGCATTTTATTGTTCTGACATTCCCTTATCTTATGTTGTTTTTTTGTTTTTTACGCTTTGCGAATTAATCATTATTTATAATAGCCTCAATAACATCCAATTATCCATGGTAACCAAACTTAAGCATAAGAGCACAAACTTAGAAATGTGATTATAATCGCTAGAAACGTTTAACATTCTAAACGTTTAAACACTCTAAAAACATAATTATTTAGAATCGATTTACTTATATTTGATGTTTACAGTGACTAGAAGTAATTTATACTAACGTAAGAATTTATATCAACGTAACTTTAATTTTTTTAGGTGCAAACATCTTTTTTTGTTATTAATTACTTTGATTTTTTTTCCCAGCTCAATTAAAGATGATAAAATTAATGACTGATAGTCGTGAACTTACTAGCTATCTTGCATCCTACTATGCTTTAACCAAAGTGGAGCGTAAGTAAACAAGGCCGTCGTTATAAAAACTGTAAAAAGTTTGAAGTATTAAAAACTATTAACTAACTATAAAAAACTATTTTTAATAGATATTTAGGATAACGTTTAATTAATTTTTAGATTACACCGATAATAATCGGCAAAAACAACAAGCTAGAAAAAATACATCTAAATGGAAACGGGAGCATTTGAATCCGAGAATAGTTGAAAATGAAGTTGAGGATGATGATGAAGCAGAGGAGGATTTTAGTTATTTTTCTAAAGCTTATTTACAACCAAGATTTTTAACTCAGTTACCACGTAATTTATCAAAAACATTAGGTGAAAAGCTTGAAGTGGTTTGCTTAACAAGCGTTTTGTTTCCGACTGAGATTGATTGGTATTTAAATGGCATAGTACTTTCTAACTCGGCAGACGGTAGAATAGTTATAGAGAACAACGCTAGGCAACTAACATTTGTATTTGTTAAAAAGACTGATAGTGGAAAACTAGTTTGCATTGCTAAAAATAAATTTGGAACTGATATTTCAATGTGCAATATTTTGGTTAAAGAGCTGAAATAGATTCTCAAATTTTATTGAAAAACTTTTCCGACGCAACATATATCAAACAAGAAATTCGTGCGCGAATAAAATGTTAACTGATAGGGTACTATCAAATTTCGTACCGTTGTTTCGATATCAGAAAATTAAGCATTTTCCGACTGCAAGTAAAAATGTTTTACTTGTTTTGACAAAAACATGTTACATTACAAAATAATTTTCCGCAAGAAAAATTGGTTTTGGCTAAATTCCAAATACTTAAATTATATTACTCATAAATATTTATGAAAAAAAAATATTTTTGCGGTTAAATTTTGGCTTTAAGTTTTTTATTTATTAAGTTCGTATATGTTCTGTTATTCATAATCAATATATCTATATCTATATATATTTTTTATTAATTGATAAAAATCTTTTTTTTTCAAACTAATTAAAAAAATAAATGAATATATTTAATCTATACCAATATTGACATTAAAATATCATATATATATATATATATATATATATATATATATATATATATATATATATATATATATATATATATATATATATATATATATATATATATATATATATATATATATATATATATATATATATATATATATATATTTGATATAGGGATGTCAATATTGGTTAAATATATTCGTTAATTTATTTAATTAGTTTAAAAAAAAAAGATTTTTATCAATTAATAAAAAAAATCCAGAAAAACATTTAAAATATAAAATCATATATACATATATGATCTTGATTTTCTTGAATACATATATGATCTTGATTTTCATTATTAAATTTAACCTATAAAAAGAATACACTTTTATCTTTTTTTTTATGAGTTAAAGTTGAGTCCTGTTACTTAAACAAAATCTCTACTGAAAGCCTTTTTTCTCATATTTGTATATTTCTCACGTTGCAGCTTTGCCATATTGACAGATTACAAATTTATTGGCGCATCTAAATAATTCTATACATACGATTTAGCTGCTTTAAATTTTTTTCAGTGTTGTTTATTTCATTTACATTATTTAATTCTCGTTCGTTAAATGACATTTTAGAAGTATATATTATGAAAACCTATTTATTTATAAAAATTTGTATACGCATTTGAGACTTTTGAAGAAACAAAAAGCACTTAGTTAAATAGTTGATAAAACATTTTCGGTTCATAAAACATAAATACGTCTATAATAAGTATTTCTCCAAAAGTGATTGTTCCGCAACTTTCTAAGCAGTCCGTGTTTCGGCATCTTTCTAAGCATAATAATTTTGTTGTTATTTAATTACTATAGAACTTTTATGAATGAATATTGCATTTTTGAGTATTAAACCAGCAAATGGTCTATCGAAACAAAAAGACTCTATCCTCCATTAAGGGTATAAAAGATCTCAGAATGCGTTTTTTTCCGGAAACATTCGAAATAATCCTAGCTACTCTGGTCTTTTAGTAGTTATTTTAGAGGTATTGTGGTTTCTTTAGAGGTTATTTTAGATTTATTATGGTTACTTTAGAAGTATTGCTACTTTTATTAGTGACTTTTCTACTAAAAGAATAAACTCCGTAATAAAATAAGTGTATAAATAAACCGTGTTACAAAGATTACGCCGAGGCTGCATTGCGCTACCACTGCAGCCGTGGCGCATTGGTAGAGCACTTGCCTCAGAAACAGGAGATCTGTGGTTCAAACCCCACCTCTGGGTGAGTTTTGTGACATCGGTTAGAAAGGAGACGTTAACTTTCTATTAAATACTCGCGGTACTCTGTGATAAGGCCATAAAGGACTTCTTGGGGCACCTAAAAAAAATAATTGTAAATTAAAAATTAATAAGATTTTTTTTGTTTAGAGATGTGTTTCCACAATGCAAACACGTTAACCAATCTTTTAAGTGTGGCGAACACTTTCATTATTACGTCACTGGTGCTACTATGACAACGGATTCTCTTCATAATTGAGGATATTTTTCCTTATTTCAAATACTACATTTTGATTTACTTCCTAACCTCAACAAATGAACTGTATAAGCTCTTGTTAGTAGTTTTTTTTATTATTATATGTTATAATTGTTCATTTTTTTGCAAGCAAGGAGAAAAGTGTGACCATTCTTTTTTATTTAACATGTCTCTTCTGTCAAGGCTTATTTTAAAATGAAATTAAATACATTAGACAACTCTTTATAAATGATAAATAAAGTAGGATGTGTGAATGCATATTAGTAAGAGGGTAAAATATTTTCGGTATTGTTGACAAAAACAGCATTTGGAGTAATTATAATAGAAATATCAAAGTTGTTTTAGACAACACCTAAGTTTTTTGTCTTTTTATTCTTGTTACTATTAGACAACTTGTTGCCATACTTTTATTCTGAGGTATTTTAAATTAAAATATACATTACATTTTATTATTGTTGCTTTGTAGACAACTAGTTGCCTAGTTTTCATTTGGCGGTTTTTTCAAATAAACATTATTATGTTCAATAAGTTACGGCATTAAGTATATTTTCAAGGTGATTTAAAAACCATGGAAACAGTTAGCTATTTTCGCTAATACTATAAGAAGATATATCAAGTACAATAAAAGGTGATTGTAAAAAATAAATCCTTTTAAACATATGCAAATTAAAATATATTTTCTACGATTTCTTTACATGTTTTTATGATTAAGATAGCAACAAGATGCCTCATAAGCATAACAAGCATAACATATGATACTCAATGCCTATTTATACAAAATGCCATACTTGGTAAGCATACTGTAAGCACATTTAGTTAAAGGAGTTCAAGTTAAAAAAAATGTTTTACTAATAGAAATATATTATAAGTACATATTTTCTGTTTTAATATTATACCCAGTATTTAAGATTATGCTTTCTCAAATGAGGGTGAGGAGAGAGGAAAATACTTCCCTGACCAGAAAAACGTCAACAATCTGAATAAAAACCTTGATCTAACCAATCTAATGTTTGGCATCTAACATCCTCACTCAAGCAGTAATTTTTTGTTTATCAGCGTGCGCAAACAACGGAAAAGCTGTTTTCAAACTTTTTCCAATATATTTAGCATTAATTGACTTCAAAGAAACTGCTGATAAAACCTCAGAAAATACGATTCATGAAAAATAAGTTAGACTTCAACAAGCAGTTTGCCTCTGCTCTTGAAAATAATTAGCATGTTTCAAATACCTTTTCCAACGTTTTTCAAAGATGTATAGCATAAAGAATAATAAAAAAAAAAAACAGTTAGAAAAGATTTTAATATGTTTTTTTATGAAAACGATTTGCGGTACATTGTAATTTTTTACGTTGTAAGTTTTTTTTTTTTTTAAATCAGCGATGAGATTTTATATAAAGACATAAAATACAGAAAATAAATTATTTACAAACAAACTTATTAGTTAAATTTTTTTTTTTTGATTACAAGGCATTGAAAAGTTAAGTAAAAGAAACACGGTCAAAAAAATATTAAATAGATATTAATAATCACTAATTAATAAACACCTAAGAAATATAAATACAAAGTATTATAGCCACATGTGGGCCACCACCTAAGTAATATAAATACCATAGCCACACTTTACCCACATTTATGCCATCCCATAAATTGAGTGTAGCTATCATTTAATGACATAATGACACATGACGCTTGCACCAATTTTTTTCGTTGTATACGACTATTTGTAAATATCGTAAGTAAAGATTTTAAATTATTTCTAAATTTACATTTAATTACGTGACTGAAGTGTCATTTTGTTTGTTTGAAATTTCTTTTGATTAATTTACTTGATTGTTATTCTCCTGCGGTTTGACGCTTTTTGACGCTGTTTGACGCTGTTTGACGCTGTTTGACGCTGTTTGACGCTGTTTGACGCTGTTTGACGCTGTTTGACGCTGTTTGACGCTGTTTGACGCTTTTTAACTTTTTTTTTGCTTTTTGACGCAAAATAACTGTGTAAAATGTACTCTCTACTGGATATTCTATCTAGTTAAATGTTCGCTCCACTGATTAGAAGAATTTATTTACAAATTATCTTATAACTTTGGTATCTTGTTCTTCTATCGTTCATAATATTTTTGAAAACAGATAACCAATAAATTTTTTAGTTTAGTAAAAACTTATTCCAATACTTTGGCTAGTAGGGGCTGTGTAATTTTAATAAATTATAACTTTTTGCAAATAAAAGATGTTAAAAAAGGTTTTCGATAAGCAATATACAAATAATTTAAGTCTTGTAACAAGTTTCTGACTACAGATTTTATTCATAACTTACAGAATCTTCGAACAAGACAAAAACAATGTAATGTTCCTAACTCATATATATACTTTTTATTTGGTCTATTATATGATTAATTGACAAAAAATTTAATAAAAAACCTAAACTTTTTTTAATCTAAACTATTTTACATTTTACACTTATTTATAACAATTGTCATTATACGACTTAATTTGTAATTATCACACTCAACAGACTACCAGCTACTTGTTGGTACCTCAAGTGTTGTTTATTAGATTTTATGGTTTTGCCGGTACCTTCATGATTTATTGATTTAACTATTTTTAATTAAATAAAAGAAGTGCAGACCATTAGCTGTGCCATCAGTGGAAATAAAAAAATTATTTTCCATAAAAAAAGGTAATCCTATACATTTTTTATTTTTTTCATTTTAAATCTTTTTTAAAGGATGATTTTACCAGTGGTCATTTTTAATTTAAAAACGCTAAACACAAATAAATTTAGAATTTAAGATAATTTTTTTATTTGCCACAAAATTTTAAAAAGTTAAGTGTGGCAAAATAAAATTACAAGAAAGTGATAATGTTTTAAAATAATAATTGGAATTTGACATTCATCTTGAATGATAATCAGACCAGTCGACCATAAATAAAAATATATCTAATCAAACTTAGGTAATTAGAAGTAACACAATGCGCAGCAAGGTTTTTGGACGGCAGTCAAGTGAGATGCACGACCACTTTTTCTATTTTGGATGAAAAATTAAAAAATATCCCTTTTTTAATCAATATTTATGAGGTTAAAGTATCTTTATAATAGTGAAAAAAGTATGAAAATCTGACGCACTGTTCATGATATCTATTAGATATAGTAAAAATAGTCAACTAGTCCCAGCCGTGGCGCAGTGGTAGCAGCACTTTAGCAGCCGTGGTGCAGTGGTAGCGCACTTGCCTCAGAAACGTAAGATCCGTGGTTCAAACCCCACCTATGGGCAAGTTTTGCAACATCGGTTTGGAAAGAGACATGAACTTCCTATTAAATGCTATTCCGCGGTGCTCTGATTCTTGGAGCACCATA